GCTCCTTAGTTAAAGGCCTGGTGGAAAAGCTCCATCTTGCAGGCCCTGTGGAAATGTAAAAGTTCCTGGGGGCCCTGATCTCTTCTGGGAGCTCATTTTACCAGTACGGCGCTACCACTGAGAAGGCCCTGGCCTTGGTTGTGGCCAGCCTGGCATTTTTAGGACCTGGGAGGCCAATCGATTTTGTTACCCTGAGCGCAGTGCTCTCTGGGGAGCATGTGCGGAAAGGCGTTCTCAGGTATATGGGCCCCTGACTATAAAGGGCTTTTAAGGTAAGTACCAGCACCTCAAAACGAATTCGGTATACTATCAGCAGCCAGTACAGTGCTTTCAGCATAGGCTGGATGTTGTCCCGCATAGGGACGCCCATCAGAAGCCTGGCTGCAGCATTTTGCACTAGCTGTAGCTTCTGGATTTGGGTCAAGGGTAGCCCCATGTAGAGAGCATTGCAGTAGTCCAATCTCAAGGTGACCATAGCATGGATCAGGTCATTGTGTTCGAGGAAGAGAACCAACTGCCTAATCAGCCAGAGGTGGTAAAAGGCTGATTTGGCAGTGGCGGCTACCTGGGCCTCCATTGTTAGTGAGGCATCCAGGAGCACTCCCAAGCTCCTAAACTCCAGCGCCGGCACCAATGGTGCCCCATTGAAGGTCGGAAGTAGGATCCCTACCCTTGGGCTGCCCCGGCTCAGGCAACAGAATCTTTGTTGGATTCAGTTTCAGTTAGCTCAGTGTGAGCCAACCAGCCACGGCTTGCAACGCCCAGTCCAGATCTTCTGGTTTGAAGCCAGACTGGCCACCCAACAATAGATAGAGCTGGGTGTCATCCGCATACTGGTGACATCCCAGCCCATGCCTTTGGGCAAGGGTGCGCATGTAGATGTTAAGTAACATTGGTGACAGTGCCACCCTTTAACCCCGACCCTGAAGGGAAGAAGCCAGCCATTGCAAGGCAGGCCCCTGGACTCCAGTGTTGGTGAGGCGGTGGATCAGTAGCTAATGGTTGACCGACTGTGTCGAACGCCGCTGACAGGTCCAACAGCAACATCACTGCCAATCCGCCCTGATCCAGATG